TCGCGACCACTCTGGGAGGAAAGCACACAACTGATTGGAGAAGGGAAGCTTTATTGAGGGTGGATCCCTGAGGAGAACTGGCAGGGCGCCCCCGGGTGTCTTGTCAAAACCGCCTTTTCCCCGCTTGCTTGTCCTTGGAGGACCCAGGCAGGGGGGCAGGCCGAGACTGCCTCTGTGGGCGCCTCTTATAGTCCCAGGACTTTTTATAAGCAGTCTCGTATTTTGAATGGGTGGCCTGAGCGGGAGTCTGCTGCGGCTTAAACTTAGGTTTAGCTGGAGCCGGAACATAGAGACCCAGAGTCTGGAGAGTCGTGCGGGAGTCTTTCAGGCCATGCAGTTTTGTATCAATTTTTTCTGCAAACAGAGCTTTGCCATCAAACGGAAGGTCCTGCAGGGAGGTCTGCGCCTTGCTGGACATCCCAGAGAGCAGGAGCCATGATGCCCTTCTCATGGACACCGCAGAGGCCATGGACTGCGCGGCTGTGTCTGCTGTATCTGATGCTGCCTGCAGGGTTGCCCTGGCAGCCGCTGTGCCCTCCTCCACCAGCGCTTTGAACTCCTTCTTGTCGCGCTCCTAGAGGGAGTCCTCGAACTTGGGCAGCGAGCCCCACAGATTGAACTCAGGAGAGCCTGGTGGTTCGCCACCCATAAGTGGAAGCTCGAGGACGAATAAATTTTTCTTTCAAATGAGTCCAGCCTCCTTGAATCTTTATTTTTTCGGGGTAGGGGCTGGTTGGCCCTGCCGTTCCCTATGGTTGACCGATTCGACCACCAGGGAGTTAGGAGCAGGGTGAGTGTATAAAGTATTCATGCCCCTTGGCAGGTACAAAATACTTGCGTTCTGCTGTCTTAGAGATGGGGACCAATGAGGCTGGGGTTTGCCACAGGTCATTTGAAATTTTCGCCACCCCTTCATGGAGAGGCAAGGCCACCCTGCCCGGTGACGAGGAGGATAGTACATTAAACAGGGAGTCCGAGGGCTCCTCCATCTCTTCTGCCTGGAGGTGGAGGCTTGATGCCACCCTTTTTAACAGTTCTTGGTGGGCCCTACAGTCCTCCTGCAGGACGAAGGGAGGAGGGGCTGTAATCACCTCATCTGGTACTTTGTGTGTCCACCAGCACTGGAGGGTCCACCACCTGGTCGGTCTCCAGGCACGGTGCTGAGGATGTACATCCCACCGACTCCTTCCTCGGAGGTCTGGAGAGGGAGACTGATGGTCCTTCTGAAGCTCCGGCCACTGAGCAAGCCCCCATTGGGGGCTGTGTCGGGGGCCCCGGTGCCCACTGGTACCATTGGGCCAGCCACAGGGCCCGGTGTCACTGCACCTGCTGTGGCACCGGCAGAGCCGGCTGTTCGGCCTGGCCCATCGATGGATGACTACAAAGGGAGGCCAGGCTGATATATGACCTGCCACTGTCCCTGGATCGGGAGGAGCGGGGGCGCTGGGAGCGATGCCAACCATGGGACCGCGATCCCGATATGGAGAACTGATATTGTCCACAATCGGACCCCCGATGGCGAGACATTGGCAATTGATGCTCGGGACTGCTGAGGTGGTGTCGTGGCGGGGTCCTGGAGCGGGACGACAAACGGGAATTATGTCGACGTTGGTGCCGTGACCAGCTGCGATAGCCCCTCCGAGACAGGGACCTTTTGTGTCATCTGCCTTGGTCCTATTGATGTTTGCTCCTTGAGGCGGAGCGGTGCTGAGAGTCTCGGTCAGACGGAACCCAACCAGACAGCCTGGAGGGTGTCAAGGGCGATCCACGTGAACTTTGCCCTGAACGGTTGCTGGATGCTGAATGGCTTCGGGAACATGTATTCCACAATAGGTGTTCCCGACATCCCCTCGACTGAGACTGGTACCGAGACAGGGGCAACTGCGGAGATCCCAGCAGCGGATTGCCTCTGGAGCGCGGGGCCGACATCAGCCGTGCTCCTGGTACCGGCATGGACATAACATCCTGGGCCACCTGCGTGGAGGGCATCGGGACATCTGGGGAGGCCTGCTACGAATGGGCCAGGCTACTCTACTTGACTTGATTCGGAGGCCTAGAGGCCGGTAGGGATCAAGGACTGTCCAACATGGGTCTAGCCTCTGTCCTGGGTTTACTCCGGTGCCGCGGCGAAGAAATCCTCTTCCTAGCCTTCTTGGCGTGCCCTGTGAACAGTGAGCGGTGCCGACTAGTCGATGGCACCAAAGGGTCGCTGCGCACTGACACCACGGTGCTTGGTGCTGACTCGGAGCACTGTGCTGGACCCAGGGTCACCACCGACTCCATCAGAATAGCCCGGAGCCTAATGTCCCTTTCTCTCTTGGTCCAAGGCTTAAACGACTTGCAAATCTTGCAGTGATCATGGAGATGGGTTCCCCAGAAACAGCGTAAACAGTCCGCATGGGGATCACTCACTGGGATAGGTCACCTACAAGTATTGCACTCCAGGGGTCGCTAGGGCACTCTCCTACGGGTACTGTTAGGGGGAAAACTTCCAGCTCCGGTGCATGTGGCGAGCACGCACACCTATTGGAGAATACACATGAGCAGTCACTCGAAGAAGAACTATACATTTTTCAGACAGTCATTCTCTTGGGGGCGGTCTTTGTATACGTGAAAAGATCAGTTCTCTTTGAGTCTGTACTAAGAGTGTGTATGTATGTCCCACCATAATTCACCAATTTTTTTAATGCGGAAGTACAAACCTCATTAGCACTTTTAATATATTAACACAGATGAGCTGAAACACACTGAAACCCCAAATGTTGGGGTGTTAAAATCCAAATCTGAACTCAACTCCACATTTTGCAAATGGCCCACACCTGAATAATTGGCCAAACCAGCTGTACCAGATTTGAACACCCAGAGTTCTGGCCTAGATGAAATCCGGATCAAAACAAGCTTATTCTTAACAATGGATCAGAAGCTGCAGTCCTCATACACATCAAAGACCTCTGGAATATAATGTGTTTGACTTTCATAAAGGCTACAGGATCAAGCTCAATATTTTCACAAATGAATGCAATTAAGAAGTCCCTCCACTATTTAAAAAAACACCCCACAAGAGAGTTGTCTTGCTTTCCAGCATGTACTGAAAAAGAACTTGCACCAGAGGAAGTAAAAATGATCTCAAATAAAGGTAAATAAAATGGGGAGCAGGACATTACACAGACACTAGGCCAGAGCTCTCTCTTTTCAGCTAATGATGCTTTAACACAGAGGTTCTCAAACTGTGGTCCATGGACCACCAGTGGTCCGTGAGCTCCATTCAGGTGATATGCGGATAGTTCCCTCCAAGGTGTGCGCCAGGGCAGCTGCACATGAGAAAATAAAGGGCCATCCACCTAATTAGTGGAGCCGCGCAGGCATGGCTCCACTAATTAGGTGCCTGGACCCTGGAGAAGATGCACATGTAAAGTGAGGTGGTGGCCTTGGGGGGAATAAGGGGTAGGTGGGAGGGGTCAGTGGGTGAGAAGAGGGAGTGGGGGAGAATTTGGGACATGCAGGGCTGTGGCGGCCAGAGAAAGAGGCGACTTTCCCCAGCTCCAGGGCTGTGGCTGCCGGGGAGAGACGGGCCTCCTTCCCAGCCTCAGCTGTGTGGCTGCTGTGGCAGGAAGAGCCCCAGCTCGGGGGCTGCCGCAGCCGGGGAAAGAAGGCACATCCATCACATTAGAAAGGTAAGATTACGGATATTAAAATATGAGTTGTGTGCTTTCAGGAAAAAATGTTATACATTTATTAATTTTAACCAAGCAAAACACCCCAAGAAGTTAACAGTACATGGATCCTTTGTTTTACTTTTTAAAATATATACTGAACTATTTATCATGGTATCAATTTTCTTTTAATCGATTACAAAAAAAATAATAATCTAAGTACTTTATGAGCCCCCATCACTATTACATCGAAGCAACTAAGGGCCTGATTCTTCATTCCTTCCTTCCCATTTCTGAGCAGAGGGGAGTGAGACAAGGGGTGGGGGTGGAAGATAGGAATGTGGACTCCCTAGCATGCTTTCCTTTTTTCTGTTACTATTAAATCCTCTCTGCAGCTGCCCTGTAAGGTTCATGCTCTGCTGATCAGGAATGGGCAGGGAAGGGGAAGTCAGCTGCACTCTGCACCGTATTTCACATCCACAATCAATTTTGCATGTACAAATGACAGAACTTCATTTCTACCACCAATGTACCTACAAATCAGATAGATAGAGGTCCACATCTACCCTTTGCACATGCATGTGAATGAATTCAATTGATTGTGGCTGAAAAATTACAGGGTAGGCCAAGGGGTTTTGGAAAGTGCGGGCTTTTGCTTCTCAGAGACCGTATCTTGCAGTATCTTAGGTGTAACTCTTGAATGAGTGACTGATGCAAGTACAACAGAGGCCTGTCAGAGCTAGTTTTGCACTCTTTCATCAAAATATTTCAGCGCAGCAAAAAAACCTCCCTGTCGACATCTCCTTATGTGCAAAACTGGATTTACTGGCTTCACCATGGAGAACACATCTGCACATCTCCACCTCCCAAAGCTTCTGCGCAACAGTTACATAAACAGAGCGTACATCTAACGTGTGAGAGAAGCAGCATGCCAATACCTGGCCCAGTACTGTCTTTATATATGAGCTGAATTTTGCAAGGCTTGACCAAAGAATACAAATATGTTGTTTAGAATTGCAGTATCAGAGCAATTGCCGTTGTGCATCAGGCCATGTAAATCCAATATCCGCTTCTCTCCAACAGTGGAGAGTGTTGGATGCCTGCAAGCAGAGGAAGGTATTTAAAAAACCAACTAATGTACAACTAATATGCAACAACATGCCCACAGGGGAAAGTTTCTTAAATCCAGTGGTTGGCTTATGTACTGAAGCATGGGGGTAAATCATCCCTTAATTTTTACCCTAGCCAGTGTAACTGTGGCTATTCATATTCTGCATGTTTAATCCTCTTGCATACTACTATGCATTTTGACCTACCTTTTCAGAAGTGACTAGTGATTTTGAGTGTCCCATGTGAGGTGTCTTAGAGGGGTCTGATTTTCAGAGGACAGGTGCTCAGCAATTTCTAAAAAACGGGCTCCTTTACAGTGTCTCAAGTTAAGTACCCAAAATCACTAGTGTCACTTTGACTCAGAGAAGCAAGGGCCTACGTTTTCTAATGGAAGTAGGAGCGGAGGGCACTTGGCACCTTGCAGATCAAGCTCTGGATGGAAAAAGTAATACCAGTTTTAAGACCTGATCAAATGTCAAACCAATGTGATGATCATGATCTTATTCACAGTGAAATGAAATATGGCTGCTTGTTCATTTGAATTGTTAGCATTATGTACGGATTAAAAACATTACATAGCATCCTTGTTACAACCAACCACTTATATCTGTGCTATTCCTTTAGCCATTGGGGAGAACAAAAGCAGCTTATAATTAAATAAGCATCATACTGAAGCTTTTTAGATTTATACTGTTTGCTAGAATCTGAATAAAACCCATTTTTAGAAGTATGCCAGTCACAAAACATTAGGCTTGTATTTTGAAATATATCCCAGACAACAAATATAACGAAGTTCTGCTTGCATAAGCGGATCCAAAGCCATATTGATTTGAAGCTGCAGTCTTATGTGATGACCTCAGTACAGATGTTCTCATTCAAAATGGAAACATCTGCATGTTAAATTTTACCGCTGAAACACCCAACGAGCATTGAGACCCAGAAACAACAGGTATGGAACAGAACACAGAAGAATTATTAGAAGCTTAACAACAACTATCACCTCTCAGCAGCTTGCAGCCAATTGACATCAACCGTATGAGAAGCATCTTAGATGGGGGAAGAGTTTTAAGGTGAAGCATTTAAATAGCTACACCAACATTTTCAAAACTTGGGTACCTCAAGTCAAGCACCTAAACCCATATTTAGGCACCTAAATAAGCGGCCCGATTTTCAGAGGTGCTGATCACTCACCGCTCCCATTGACTTCAGTGGGAATTGTAGTCAATTTAGGGAATTTAGCACCTATGAAAAAAAAAAATCACTCATGGTTCAGTCCTACTTCCATTGTAGCTATTGACAGTTTTGCCACAGGTGCTTATATGTGCGCCTAGATAAGGATTTGTGCATCTGTATTTTCCCTCCATGTGAAAACACTGACCATGGTACTAATGCCCATGATAAAGTATAACTAGACATCCATGCTGCTATTGGGGTTTTCCTTTGTTTTTTAAAGAGAGAAACAAGTATGTGCTTCTCTTTTTTCTGTGTTGGGCTAGAATCATAAAAAGCTCCTTCTTCTTGGCAGTCCGAGAAGCAGGAGAACAGCCACCCACATTGAGGGCTAAAGGCTTTGCACATTTTTACACAAGTCAATCTTCTCCATCGAAAAATCCATGGTATACGCTGCGTCCAGCCAATCTCAAGATTGTTAACAATCCACCATCACAGTGAAATCTATATTTACATAAATAGAATATTTTGTAGCGAAAATAACTGATGGAGACCAATAGTCAACAACAGCTAACCCTGCCCCCAAGATCAAAGCCATGTTATTTGCCTTTCTTCATTTTTGCTGTCTTCTCTTTTCGCTTCTTCACATGCTTTGGGATTTTGTTTTTTCTTTTCTCTCTTTGGGCTTCTTTAACCATCTTTTTCCTTTCCTATAAAAAGTGAACAAGACTTCATTTACAATAACGATCCAGAGTGATTGTGAGCAAGTTCTTAACATGTGATATGTTACTATTAGAAAAGGTAGAGGGGGGAAGTTAAGCAATTTTGACCCAGGCTTTCAAATGCTGTATTAGGAAATTAAATGAACTCCACATTTCTAGAGATGAGACTGAGCCACAAAATCCAGTTTCCAAATTTCAGAGGAGTTGAAGCCAGGAAGTTATGGTGGGAGCAAATGCTGAGCATAGCAGATTACGAAGGGGATGAGGACTCATAGTATTTAATTTGTAAATTCCACTATTAATACAAATTGTAACAGGAATCTGATGCATGGCTTTCCGATATCCAGGCTGGGCTACTGCAATGAACACTTTCATGCACTGCCAAGACAGACCAATCCATTGCCTGCAATGAGCTCAGAAGGCAGCAACTTGATCATCATCAGAGTTGAAGGGAGGGGATTTGATACCACAACACTATGCAGCACTAAGTCCAGGGGTGAATGCTACTCTATCTCACTGAGACGGCAGCTACAATTTAGCTAAACAGAATATAATTCAAACTGGGATCTGACCAATACAATGTGATTAACTAACATCCCATCCTACAAAAGAGAAAAAGGAATGATGGTCAGAAGTGGCCAAGAACTCTCCATTTTACAGCACAAAGACAAATCCTAGCCCCAAGAATTTCACCATGGCACAGCCACCGCAGTTCTGATTTTTAGGCTCAATGTTAATTATCTCATATTCTATGACACTTTAATCCTTTTGAACTGCATGGAGTTTTCCCTTCGTGCAGTGCCTGGAATGCTGCTAAAGGGTAGGGACACTCAGTGAAATTTGCTAAGGTCTCTGACCCACTGGAGTGGATCCACTGTGCAGGGTTCAGGAAGCCACAGAGATGACTCTCAGGAAGATTCTATAGCTAGTGCTCAGGCAGAGCTGGGCTCAAACCCAACTCTACATAAACCCTTATGGATGAAGCCGGGTCCACGGCCACTGGGTCCACAATTATATAAAGTGGGCAGGGGTCATGGCCCCTCTTCCAGCCCAAGAGCTAGAAAACACACTGTAGAATTGTGCTGTGCCCTGTCCACATCGGATTCTTTTCCCCACATCTCGGGTGGAGTTCCTCACACAAAGCTTATGTATTCTGGGTTTGGGGGTGGGTGGGTAAATGTAGGTTAAATGTTACTCTATGGAAACTACATTAGCAAAACCCAAGAAAGCACTTCAAATAACGCTTCACTGGGGACATTCAATCTCTGCTCTCATTTCTCTTAATTAAAATACTCAAAAGAATAAATTAAAAGCTTTTTTGTTCTCACTGAGCAGTAGATATGTAGAAAAATAAATATATTTGTCACTTGAGTAGCTCCCTGGAGCAGAGAGGGGAAGTGTACGACTTCCTGGCCAACTGACCTTTTTGTCCATGCCAGCGTCAGTGGGTTGATCTTTGGGATGCAGTGGCTCTCCCTGTTCTTTACAGCCTGAGTCAGAGTTATCAGAACTGCTCCCATCTTCTGAATCGGATTCCATGTCATCTTCTTTTTTTTCAAGGAGTGCGGGGACCTAAAGGAAACACAGAAGGATTTTGTCCCTAATCAAAAGTCGGTGGAACAACAACAACAACAAAAAGATGTAGCATTTAAGTGGTAGAGCCTCCTAGAAAGAAAGCCTTCAGCTAATTTGTGTTTATCCACTTCTCCAGGAACAATGTGCCTCTAGACACTAGTATTAAAACTACAAAAAAGAGAATGAAACAAAATTAATCCAAGTTAAAAACAAAGGGTACAGTAAACAATGGAAATACAGCTTGTCTGGGGGGGACTTTGTTACAAAACAGCTGCACCGCTACCTCCCCACCACACCGAGTTAAAGTACCATTCAGTTCTGTGGTGTACACAGGACCTTTTTTTTTTTTTAAAAGAATCATACCAATGCTAGTTTTAGCAGTCACCCACCTGGGCTTTAGCAGTAACAGTCAGGCATCTACAATGCAAAACAGAGCTGTACTTTAATCATACTGGGGAACAAACGTGTTATAACCTGGTCGCTTGACATGGTTATATTTGCACTGTAGACAGGGTCTGCCTAGTGCTGTTTAACTAAGCGTGGTTTCCAAAAAAGGAAAAACCCAACCTGGCTCCTGCTGTAGTAGGATATCTGCAATCACTTACAGACTGATTAGTACAGCATTTTTATCCAGTGTGTTTTTAAAGTACTGCATTGCAACATTTCCATTAGTTAGTACAATGCCCTATTCTGCATAAATGCTCTATGTACAACAATTACAGCACAAGTCACACAAAACGTAACAACACTTATGATAATGTAGCATTTGATATAAAGTAAGTTTTCTGCACTGGGAAATCTTCACACACACACACATACACAATGTAGATCTGGCCATATGTTGTATCTTCCTATACTGACCATCTATCTGGTGGCTCCTTGAGTATTTTTGTTCCTGAGTTACTCCAGCACTGGCTGAGTAATGCAAAGTCATTCCACATACTGCACCACATAGTATGCAGGTACACAGTGGTGTAAAGATGCAATCTTAGCCCCTGATCTTGCAACTGCCTCTGTGCTGGAAGAACCTGCAGTCAGCCCTTCTGAAATCAGGGGGCTGCCTGCATGGAACCAAATGCAAGACCAGGCCTTATTTAATACTTCTCAGGCACCTTTATAACAATGAAATTCACTATAGAAGAAAAACTTTACAACAGGCCTTCTCACCTTCTGAACACCTGACAAGTCCTTCTTCAATCCTGTCACCGTCTGGTAGAGAATCTATACACCAGGATAAATGAAAATCAATTATACAAAAGCATCTAGCTGCAAAACTATCATTTTCAACCTGCCAACCAGAGAAAACGGGTGGCTGACTGTATCAGGTGTGGCCGTTTTCCAGTACCACCCAGAGAGCTCTCTGCGCACAGGCGGTAGATTTTGCGCAACAGGTTTTAGAAACTAGAGATTCCCTAGGCCTGACCTCCATTTTTTGAGATCAGAGTCTGTTCCCTGTGAATCTTTTGTACGGAGAAACTTCACAACATGTACACGAAAGAGCTGAGAGGGAGAAGGCACAGCTCTTTCCTGTAAAGCCTTAGAAGGGTTTGTCTTATTATCAGCTCACTAGCACCATCACCATCTATATGGCAGTAGTGTACAAATGTTTTAGGCACTGCACAAACACACAGAAAGACAGAACCCCACCCTACGGAGTTCGCAGTCTAAAATGACAAAACAGAAGAAGGGTGGGGGACAGAGCTATGCCGCCGTTATAAACTATGCTGTCTATATTTTGCAAGCAATCTGGTGATTTGGCTTTTTCTTGGCACTATCCAGAATGGGAAGATCATCTAGAAAAGGGACAAATAATACTGTTTCAACGCATGTAGTACAGCCAATATGCTCCAATGCACTGATGGCACTTCTTAAAAAAAACCCCACAAAGGGAATATTGTGATTGACTTCTTTACTTAAATCATCTCCCCAATTTTCACTTATTAGAATCTTCAGCTATACAGGCGTTCTTAATTATGTCCTTTTGTCACTCAAGGAGGGATCTGTTTGGAAAGCCTTGTTTTTCTGAGCTAGAATCTGCAACTGTGCATAACATAGCTTTTAAGCACTCAGTCCCTACATTTTGTAACACAACAGTAAATTGACTTCTCAGACCTTGAGCAAGATCTGCATTATTCATGGAGTATCAGAGGCCTCTAACAAGGACCCTATGGTGAGGGGTATGTCTATATAAGTAGCACAGAAGCTCTGTTATACAGCTCTACTGAAGTAAGGTTGATGGATGAACACCTGCCTGTAGTAGAGTTTTAGCTTTACTCTGGGAAACTGGAAAATATCTAAAGTTTCAACAGGACAATGAATGATGGAAAAATCTAAGTTCAATGATTCCTATTACTAGATTCCAGGTACCATCTTATGTATTTCCACCTTATGCTTCTAGTCAAGCCCAAAAATAATATAAAATTGATTTCAAAGGGATGTGGCAGCATTTTAAATCTTTAAAAACAAGAGTCAGAGGTGAGATTCCTGGGCTGAGATATAACTAAGATCAATGAATTTACACCAGAGATTAATTTGGTCTTTCCTCCCACAATATGTGAAGTTTAGTCCATACATAGCTGAAACTGAATGTCAAGTTGATTTGACAGCTACCGCACATCCACTCAGAAAGAGGATGTGATTGTTTGCAACTGATCCCTGACATGCTAGTGTGTCTTTTGAAAGCATTCATTCTTAAAGTTTTTGATAGTATATTGCTATAGAACCAGGATTCACCAATACTTCAAAAAAACCCCGCTGGTGGTTCTTCCATGACAATCCACAGCTAATGGTACTGCCTTGGATTGTCTCTCTCTGCCAGCTCAAGTTGTTTGTAATGTTTAGGGAAGTCTACTTACATTATCCTGCTGCACATTTAATGCCATGTCCTCTTCCTTCAATTTCATCATTACATCTACATCCCTCTCGTAGTTTTTAACTTCGGTCAGGGTTCGAGGGATGTAAGCTTTCTTAAACACCTAACAGAGTGAAATGAAATAAGAAGCAGTTTTATTGATTTACATATAGTCCTGATTATAGGCCTCTTCCTTGGGAATCATCCTGATGGGTGTCTGCAATCAGACAACACCCATAATTTAGAGATCCTACCTCACTGTCTTTGGCCAGCAGGAGATCATCTCTTTGTTGTGGTGGGACCTACAGAATGGAGCTCACCCATGACAACATCTTAAGATTTTATAATTAAGGTCTTGATAGCATGACTGCTATTGGCCACCTCTTTATGACCACCTCCATACATTGCCCCATCCTCACCATTAATTTGTTTGAATGTTAAGGGGTTTATTTAAAAGGTCACACAGGAAGTTTGTGGCAGAGTAGAGAATTGAACCCAGATGTCCTGAGTCCCAGGTCAGTGCCTTAACTACTATATCACCCTTCCTCTCACAGTACAGGTACACTTAAATTATATATAAACAAAAACTTCATGCAAGTTACAATAGTGCATCTCCTTACACAAGATGGGCTTGCAACAATAAAGAGTATATAACAAGGCCCTCTCCTCTGACGTGCTGAGCACCCACTGAAGCCAACAACACAGATGGACATACTTGAAGTTCTATTGGCTTCAGTGGGTGCTGAGGGTGCTCGGCACCTCACAGAAGGCACTGTGCACCTCACAGACTGGGCCTTTGGTTTATAAGCACACCAGCAGTTAGCTAAAGGACAAAGAGTGACCTGTTTTAAAAAAGTTCTTATCTGGTACAAAATGCCCCTCGATATACTAAATTCAGGTTTTATTGTAATCCATCACTTTGCTGCTGACAAGTTAAAAGAATCAAATCAAGACAGTGATTTTGTCTTATGCTCCCATACTAAACAATATTGCCAGTGCACCACACATCCTCAATGATGCAAAGAAAACAGACCTATGTTGCCTACTGCTGCATCAGAAATAAGCAGAGAGACAATATTACCATAATTAGAAGACCCAAATCAGAATCTGGGAGAAGGAGCTGGAATTGTTTTTCAGTCAATATGAACAACCGCGGGGCAAAAATTGTTCACATCTTAACGCTTTATGAATCCTCATTTTAGCAGATTATTTGCAGAAACTCAAAGATTTCCCCTTCATTGCTAGCTGGGTCCCTTGTGATGTCTAAGTTCAAGACCAGTTATAGCCAAGCATGTTGGTCTAGGAAACATCCTAATGACACAGGTGATACTGATCAGAGATTGCAAAGAAGATATCATGAGAAGCGTTTAGATAGCATATAAAGAACCATTTACTATCTGAAAGCCTCTCCATTTATCTCAGGATGTATCAATGTATTAAATGTAACATTCTGTGGATCAGGGTATCAAAGAGAACATTTCAAAAAGTCTTCAAAAGGGATACTGCAAAGATTCCCTCCTGGCAGAGGAAAAAAAGCCTCACCTCCTCATCCACGTTATCTTGACTGGACCTTTCGTCCTCTGTTCTTTGGGCTGCTATTTCCATCGCCTACAGCAATATGAAATGCAATACAAAATCATCACTCTTCACAATCCAGTCCCTCATGCTGGATAATAATTCACCTACCCGTTCCTACCTATATTTCCCCACCTCCACTCCATTCGCTGGGAAACTGTTCTCTCCTGCTCATGTAAAACACTCCAGCTTTTCATACCACAATGCCTTTAGTGACACCTAATGGTGATGAACATTTCTGCATGGGACACCCACTTAAATCCCACTCCTAGCTACTGATCTCCTTAATGAGAGCAAAAAAAAAAAAAAAAAACTTTACCCTCCACTGCCGCCAATCCAAACACAGAGCCAAATTATGGCTGTCCCTACACCAGTGTGGGATAACAGGGCACAGGGAGCCTCTGTCTGTTGCTCACGCTCTCACACAGGAGGCTGCCTACACCCCCCAGATGCAGAGTGTTGCTGCTATTGCTGCCAGCAGCACTGAATAGCCGGAGGCGCATGCGTGAGCAAGATGGGAGTATTGTAGCCACAGTCCTACTCCCTCCAGTCCAGTGCTCTGGTGAGTACCCAAAACCTGTGCATGCCATACAAGCGTTTATGGGCTGCTTGGAAGCACTCAGCCCCCTACCCAGCATTCCAGGTTGGGGCAGGAATAATGTCTCCTGACACCCCATTTCCAACATGGCTGAGGTCAGGATACAGGAGTCTTAATTTGATCCTTCACTATCTTTGTTGCTTGGACTACCTGAGCTGGGATTTACCGCAACAGCTAATTGGTAAAGGAGAACCCGACGTGGCTGCTGGTGCTGATGAAACAGTGAAGGGACTGCTAGAACTAGGGGGCTGGAAAATGATCATCTATTCACTAGCATCCCCAGGGGCAACAACTGAACCCCAGCTGAATTTACACCCACCCCTGCTTGAGTCAGAACAAGACTAAACAGACAGAGGGAAGGGGAAGAAAGCAATGGTGAGTAACAGACCAGCCTGAAGCATTCCAGGTGTGGGGCCTAGAGCCAGCATACACCCCCGCCCCCCTAGAATAGGCAGGTTCCTTTCACCTACTGGACTAATCAGCATTTAGCTGGTGACGCTGGGTATTTTAAGGTGGAGTGAAAGCCTCCCTCATTCCACTCAAACCCATTTACCCCCAAGTCCGCCTCACTCATCCCGCTCATACGCCCCACCCCACACAAACATGACGGGGAGGTGTGGATAAGTTCCCACAGCTTACATGTATTAATGTTAAAACATTTCTATTTTTTTTAAGTTGCTGTCTCATTATACAATGCACAATATTTACTGCAGAAGCATAGTTGTGGGATAAATGGGATAGATGAGCTTGAACCAGGTCTTATTTTACTCCTTAAATCTTCCTACGTAAGCAGGAACTTCAAGTCTGACCTTTGAGAGGTAAGCATCCAAGTTGTCGCTTGTGATAGAAGGATCTGTAATAAACTCAAAGAGCTCTCTGACAGTCATCACCGCAACACCATACTTCCAGAAAAAGTCTGTCAGGAAGCAGGGAAAAAAAACAAAGTTAGTGTGATTCAAGTTCACTTTATGCTTCTACACCATCAAAGTGATGGTAAATACAGAATAATGGCTCTATGAATTGGGGAAATTCTCTACAAGGTTTGCAGAATCCCACTGGGTGTGGTTACAGAAAACTCTTAGTCACCCAAAGCCCAAATTGCCCACCTTTCAGATACAACAAATGCTGAATGAAGCATGCAAATTCAAAGCCCAATCCCCCCTTCCTATTGAAGTTAAGGGAAAAAGTCAAATAGACTTCAGTGAAAGCCAAATGCGACCAGGAAACAAGTGAAAAGCAGGAGGGTGGAAGGGAAGGCTTCATAAAGGATCAAGCAGTTGCAGTATATTGAGATTAAACTTTGTCAAACAGATGTCAAACAGTGAAATTTGCAGAAATTGTGTGAACTCTGCTTTCTGTAGGCTAGCCTAAAACATAAGATCACATGAAATTGAATTTGTGTGACATACTCTACCTTGGCTGTACTTTGCGTAGCATAGTTTGTTGGTTTCCTAACGAAACTTATACACATCCTAAGATGATGCGCATTTTAACGAAATCCATCCTGTTCTACATACAGTCAGTTTGAAGAATACAAGGAAGTACACAGTTAGTTAATCTTCCTAGAGGAATGACCTATTAGAAGAGGAGTTGAACTACTGCCCACTCACCATTGATATTGGCACAGTCCTTCCGCAGGAATTCTAATGCATGTGGGTGGTCATGCTCCACCGACTGAGACACATCAATGATGTACACCTCTCCACTGTGGTATCTGGAGGTGCAGCAAGGGAAAAGCAGAAAAAAAAATTTTAAATCCCACCATTTGAAAAAATGGTTCAAGTTTTGGGGGCCTGACACTAAAGTTTTGCTATGGACACGTTCCATATAATAGTTGTTTTCAGTTATACTATTGTACGTTATTTGAGAGAACAATACTGGTGAACACAAAAAGCAATTTTAGAACAATGAATTAAAATAGCTTACTTGTTTATTCATCAGCTGATGAAAAAAAATCCCTGAATAACCTATTCAGGGAAGTATTTTGCAAGCTAAACTAGCTGAGATAGATTTGGGATGAAATCTGTATAATAATCAGGTAAATTACAAAGCAGAGCTGAAAGGAAGATACTGCCCTCCCATAGGAGCGTATTAGTACTGCACAGCTCTATATATTATGAGAGAAACCACCAATACCTACATTTTAAATGTTAAAATACAGAGCAAGGTTTAAAAACATACAGCATATTAAATTCGCTGAGATCTGCATGAACAAGTTTGGCGTCCTGATACATTCTTCTCATGTACTGTATGATCTGTAGATACAACTCCCGGGCTTTTGAGTCAGATAACTGAGCATTTTTCAATAGAGGAGCAGGCCTTGGATTTAAAAAAAACAAAAACAAAAAACCAGAATAAATTCTCCCGTTTTACACCAGCTGTATAGTCCCTCCACCACAATACTTGATCCATTTTAATTCAGTAAATGGAAAGACCTCAGTGATTTACTCAAACACTTGGCCAGCTCCACAGCGAATATAAATATTCATCGCTCCACTGCAGAAAGTGGAACTACGTTTTACACCAGCTGAAGAACTAGACCACAACGTTATAAATATTAAATATTTACATTACAAATGCTGAGTTAACATTTCTGTGTGCACCACTAATGAACTTTCCAACTAAGGCATCAACACATCACGACCTGAGCTTTGAAGTTTATTTTACATTTCTAGAACATAGAATCCTCACCATCCATATTCTATGAAGTATAAAGAGGCCCATGCAGATCCAGTTACAGAACTGGGGCCTTAATTTCTAGCTAATGCAGACTATTTGCTCACGCCTTGCACGGATAAGGCTTTGGATTCAGGCAGACCCTCTGCCACAGGAGCTGGGAGGGATCTTGATATTTTACATCTCATTTATACACCAGAGCGATGTACTCAATTAATCACCAGCCTATGCCATAAACTAAGCAAATTCAACAGATTTTTTTTTAATTCACCTTTGTTCAAGCCTATCAATAAAGAAGTTCTCATTGATTTTCTGAGGATACTTACATGTCATCTTTACCAATAAAACTCATGACAAGTACATGACTTCTTAGCATAATTGGCTCTGGGCAAGGTATTTGTGCTGTATTCAACCTGTAACATAACAAAAAAACCCCATAACTACCTATTAAAAACAAATGCAATCTATATTACTTATAATTTGTATTAGAGTAGTGCCGAGGGGCACCAATTAAGTTTGGAACCCCTCTGTTGTATGTGCTGTACAGAGTAACAGACAGTCCCTGTCCCAAAGGGCTTACATTCTAAATATACAAAGGGAAGTATCATTATCCCCATTTTACAGATGGGAAATGGACACACAGAGAGAAGGTCTAAGGTTGGACAGGAAGTCTGTGGCAAACCTGAAAAGTGAACCCACACCTCCTGAGTCCCAGTCTGGTGTCTTAATCATAAGACCATAAATCAGACCTCCTAACAGTCCTGGGTTTTGCGGGACTGTTGCGCTTTGACCCCCTAAGCCCCTTGTCCAGGTTGAAGGGCAGTTTGCCCTGGCCCACCCTTTGAGAGGGCCTCCAAACTGAGTGGCGCCGAGTCCTGCGTTAGCCACTTGGAATGTGAAAAGGTATGCCACAAGCGTCTAGTGTTGTCCACACTGTGGCAATGCACGCTATGGGGCTGAGATTTCTGAAGCGAACGATCATATTGCACACTAACTGGTCCATATAGACTAAAAGTTCCATAGTGCACTTTAAACACAGCTACTGGAGAACTTTTAGTGTGCACCAGCAGACTCTACCTGGACCAATTAGTGTGCAACACATTGGTGTGCTTTAGAACTCACACCCCTGCAGTGCACTGCTACACCCTGTAGATATACCCTTAGTTATACATATTTGTTAAACTAAATTGCCCCATATACCCCACTATCCAGCTGCATCAGCCAGTCTGTCTCTCTGTTGCTGACCAAGTGTTTCATCCTTATCCTACGCTGCCCTCCCCAGACAGATGCCTCCATTAGCAACAATTGGTCACGAGTTGTTGACATCGCTGTGATTTTTCTCCCCACAAAAAGATTACATAATAAAAGATTCCTTGAGATGGTGCCTGTGTAACTGATACTCTGCAAAGGCAATGGTCTCCCCTGTCCCAGGTGTCCTTTGCAGCTCCACTCTCTTCCCTGATGGAAGGGAAGGGATGTTAGGAGGGTCTGCAGTGGGGTCCGACTTTACCCTGCAATAAAATGGCATTAAACTGCCCATTAGCAGAAAGCAGTGTGCCCATCAGTCAGTGTTCTACCATGGAGCGTGATGGGGTCAGGTCAGCACACAGGTCACAGTGTTTCAACAGGGAATAAATAATACTTTGCCCTTCTGGCTCCCCATCTACATGGGGAAAACTGACCATGTTCTAACATCATTTTCAATGCTGGTTTTGGGACATAAAGGGATCCGTTCCCCCACCCAGGATCTGGGACACAGCAGCTGTTTGAGAGGGCAAGGAATGAGGAGGACTCCTGTACCCAGCTGAGAACACAGAGCGCATGGAATCGAATCGCAGAGCTGGGGCTTGGGCAGAAAGAGGAGGAAGGACCCCAAGGGAAAATACCAAGCAGTGCAAGGAAGGAGGACCCCAAGAAACTATACCATGGAATCATGCCAAGGAGGAAGAGGGGACTTTTAGAGGAAGAAGGATCAGCATGCAGGAAGAGCCTTACGATTATTCCCTGTCATGGCTGTCACAGGTTGAGAGAGGGGATAATAAAGCTCCCTTGTGTGTGTGTTGGAGGGCTGTCTCCTGTGGGTTGTTCCCCAGTCCTGGGAGATATCTTGGTGCAGTGGCTGGGATTCTCTCCTGTTTCACTCCTGAAACAGACAACACTAAAGACTCCCACCCTCTATCGCCGCTTTGTGAATGACACTATGGGTCATGGGGGATTATATGGGAGATCAGGTTCCAAACATCTTGGCCCTCCATAACTGAGGACAGGATCTGAGGCAGACTAAAATCAGAGCCCACCTTCTGTGCCTGCGGGGCATCTGGGACTAGCAAGAGCTCAACAGAACAGCTACCATCAAATGATCCACCCCGTTAGCACCGGTTTATTGGCTAGCTCTCTAGCTTGCCTGATTCCCTCCTCCCTGAGACCCCACTACACATGCACAAACCACTGATCCTAGTGGAAGGAGGCCACAACATCGTCTCTCCTCGAGTTCCAGCAGCTTTCACTCTGTGCAGGTGTGGAAATGCTGGAGATTTAGATCTATGTCCCTCATCGCCAGGGTTTTTCAAAAATGCGTGAGTTAGGAGAACGTGGCCTATTGAAAGTGAATGACTTGTGCTCCTAACTCACTTAGACACTTTTGAAAATCCCACACTAAATCTAGTGGGAAGACACTGGGTCTGTAAAAGGAAGAAGTGACTGATGCCTCCCCGGGGACGGCAGGGTGCCAGAATCACTCAAAAGAGTAATTGTTTGACCCTTGCTGGAGAATCACCCTTGACACTGACAATATCTCCTATGATCACTTTGTTTCTCACCCTACTATTCTGGGGAAGGTTTTAATCAAACGGGGATAGCTCAGTGGTTTGAGCATTGGCCTGCTAAACCCAAGGTTGTGAGTTCAATCCTTGAGGGGGCCATTTAGGGATCTGGGGCAAAAATCTGTCTGGGGATTGATCCTGCTTTGAGCAGGGGGTTGGACTAGATGACCTCCTGAGGTCCCTTCCAACCCTGATATTCTATGAATTAGGGGACATGATGAACACCCAGATTCCCTGGTTCACAGGCAGTCTGGTTTCTGCTCTGTTTATGGGACAGACGCTGGTCTTCATTGATGTCAACATGGTGATGAACAACATCCATGCTGATTCTTTTGAGGACTGACCCAAAACCCATTAAAACCAACAGGAGTCTTTCCGTTCACTTTCACAGGCTTTGGATCAGACCCTTAAATACATCAGCTGCATTCCCACCAGCAATGGAATGCACAAGTCACGTCTGCACCAAAGTTAAATATAAAAATCACCTTATTAAATTCCTCATCTCTTTTTCTGCCCATGTCTTCACCATTTTCCGCGGGTTTCCTTTACAATATCCATGACGAAATCTTAAAAACAAGCACACCACAGAGACAAACATTTATAGAATATCTGTGACAAAAATTAAGAACAATCTGTAGGTAAATGCACTGTTAGCCCTGGAGAGGTTTGCTGTCATTAAAGAAAAGAACTCCAACTCACCTAAATTCCCCACTCACATACTTATCCCGATCTTTAAACATCAAAATAGAGGTTTTATAAATCTTTATTGCTCTGTTCTCTCCATTCACTGTACTGGCGTGATAGACATTAGCCTATAAGTGAGAAAGTAAGAGAAACAATATTAGCGTCCTGGGAATAGTTTAAGTATTGAGAAGTTTGCTTATGTATCAAATACTGTCAAGAACACCATTTTTTAGGAGAGAAATTAAACCTTGGGCTTTGTCACAGGGTGGCTGCCCCTTTAAAGGGAAATGGGTCTGAATCCCACCTGTGACACAGCTAACTCTCCTTCGCAGAGGGGTGACCCAATCAGGCCTCTGGTATAGATAAGGGAGAGACATTGGGTAAGGCAGAGATCTGAGCCTGTGCAGTTGCGGAAAGCAAGAAGGCTCCTGCTGGAGACCCTGAGACAGCAGGGGAAGGTTGTTTGCATGCTTCCTGGTGGTATGTCCTGGCCTCCAAGCCCTGGAGAAAGGTGGGAAAACTGCACTCCAGCAGAAATGCCCTGGAGGAAGGACTGTTAAGATGGTTTTGTTCTGAGTTACACTTGTTTTGACAGACTTTATTGCCAGTCCAGATAGAACTAAATGAGTATAATCAGGGGGAAGGAAGGGAGGGAGGGACTATTGGAAACTGTATGAGGACTTAATAAATTGGACCGCAGAAGGGGAACCTTGTTTTTGAGTATCTTGGACTGTGTGGAATTTTTTTAAGGAGCCCTCGGAAGAGGGAAACTGAGGCAGGGGTGCTGCAGGGACATCCCAAGATATAAGGTGGTGGCAATGCTGTTACAGGCCTCAATCCCAGAGACCCCTGGACTCAACAAGGGTGCCCCACTGAAGTCAACAGGATTTTGCTTGGGCCCAGGGATCCAACCACAGGGAATAGCTCGCAGGATTGGGATCTAAAACCATACAAAGATGTTAGCATATGTATAAAGCTCTAAAATGCGTACATGTAGTAGAACTTCACAATAATGGCTGGGATGTTCATTACAGATAACTAGAGAGGAGCCTGATCCAAAGAGGTGCCAAGCACCCTCAATTCTTACTGACGCTCTGCACTCCTGAGAGTGATCACATTGACTTCAACGGAACTATCTGAATGAGTGAGGACTACACATATGATAAGCAAGGGTCTGCAGGGTCAGATCTTCAGAGCCAAATACGGGTTCCACTGAAGTCAATGGCATTTTGCCTGTTACTTCAATGAGACCAGCCTTTGGCTGTAAGAGTGAAACTAGCCTCTGTGCCGAGGGCCAGCATGAGGCCTATGTACCACTTAAGTCCTCATGATCACTTATGGTCTAAGTGGAATTTAAATGGTGCTCCATATTTTGATTAATAAACAGAGTTCAGTAGCTTCACTATTGATATGTGATAAAATTCAAAGTGACAGATGTCTCACTTTACAGTAAATAAATTAACTTCTTGACAAACACAAGAAAATTAATTTAATGCCAGAGATAAGTATTTTACTATTTCCCTTTCAGCACAGTCAATTTCCTTTCAGTTTGCAAAGAAGACTGTAGCATGCCAGTTGGAATGAAACTTACTTCTTTTCCTGTGCTGATGCAGCCATTTATCTCTGATATGACACCTCTAGTTAGCATCTTGAACAGGATCATTCGTGTTCTTGGATCCAATACCTCATGGGGAAAGGGGGGGGGGGGGAATAAGCAAAATCACTTTATCCAGTTTACTGAAAATATTATTAAACGAATCCATCTTGAATTGAAGAACTCACAGAACCACAGCATCTTAGTGGACCAAGCCATTCAAAATTCTATCTGGATAGTGCTTTATTTCTTTTATAATTTTGGAATTATCTTTAAAATATTAGGGAAAAATGTGTTTGTGACTTGTATACAACTCCTAATCAGTGATTTATAATATTTGGCATGCATCCTTAGGCTAATGCTAATAGAGGAGTGATTTCCCATCCACAATACCAAGAAAAAAAGTGCATTAGAACACAGCGACCCTAAAATGTGCCAGGCATTCATAATAGCACATGGTGGTCCTTGTGGTATACAGGCCTTTAATGTATCATACTAGGTTTAGAAGCAAAAATGTGTGGATTAAAAAAAATAAAAATAAAAATTGGACCATTTAGTCTTTTCCATGGAAAATTCCACTTTTGAGTAAAGCTAAGATGAAATTCCATGCCTATCAACAAAATCCCAGTTGAATACAACAGCAAATCATAATACTAAGCACCACAATGTTCTCCAGCTGTGAAAGCAGACACAATTTTTATAAAGCAGTCTTGTTCAGAAAGACAAGAAAAACCTGGGGTGAAACTCTGACCCCACTGAAGTCAATGAGTGTTTTGCCATTGACGCCAACGAAGCTAGGATTTTACCTCTGGTTATTGATTCAAATGAAAATAAGCCTTTTAACAAACAGTTTGATATATATAAGACTTACTTGTTCCACTGTTGCTCTATCAGATTTATCTTTGACTCGATACCTAGAGGAAATTAAAATATAACAGCATGGCATGATCCTACTCAGGAGAAATACCCATAGCTCCGCCAATAATTTTTCCAGAATGATTGCTCAAGAAGAAAATTAGGCAAGGAAGGGAGAGAAAAGAGGAAGCATCGTTACATTAAAATGGGATTCCTCTGCTGCCAAAGTACCGCCAGCATTTTCTGTCTTATTGGCTAATCCCACAGTCATTGAAATGAATTAGATTTGCCATTGACTTCAAAGAAAGCTGGATCAAGACCTGGCAATGATTTTAGTGACTGGCTCTGCAAATCATCCCATTTTATGAGGAAAATTTTAATTCCAAAATTTGCACTGTAAGAATTATAAACAAAAGAAATAGTATTTTTCAATTCACCTCATACAAGTACTATAATGCAATCTCTTTGTCGTGAAAGTGCAACTTACAAATGTAGATTTTTTTTTGTTACATAACTGCATTAAAAACAAAAAACTGTGTAAAACTTCAGAGCCTACAAGTTGACTCAGTCCTACTTCTTGTTCAGCCAATTGCTAAGGCAAACAAGTTTGTTTACATTTACAGGAGATAATGCTGCCCTCTTCTTATTTACGGTGTCACCAGAAAGTGAGAACAGGCATTTGGCATGGCACTTTTTTAGCTGGCATTGCAAGGCATTTACGTGCCAGATATGCTAAACATTCATATGCCCCTTCATGCTTCGGCCACCATTCCAAAGGACATGCTTACATGCTGATGACTCTCATTATTAAAAAAAAATGCATCAATTAAATTTGTGACTGAACTCCTTGGGAGAGAATTGTATGTCCTCTGCTCTGTTTTATCTGCATTCTGCCATATATTTCATATTATAGCAGTCTCGGATGATGACCCAGGACATGTTGTTCATTGTAAGAACACTTTCACTGCAGATTTGACAAAACGCAAAGAAGGTACCAATGTGAGATTTCAAAAGATAGCTGCAGCACTCGACCCAAGGTTTAAGAATCTAAAGTGCCTTCCAAAATCTGAGAGGGACGAGGTGCAGGGCATTCTTTCAGACATCTTAAAAGAGCAACACTGCAATGTGGAAACTACAGAACCCGAATCACCAAAAAAGAAAATCAACTTCCTGCTGGTGGCATCTGACTCAGATGATGAAAATGAACATGCATTGGTCCACACTGATTTGGATTGTTATCGAGGAGAACCAGTCATCAGAATGGAAGCATGTCCCCTGGAATGGTGGTTGAAGCATGAAGGGACATATGAATCTTTAGCGCATCTGGCAAGTAAATATCTTGCGATGGCAACTACAACAGTGCCATGAGAATGCCTGCTCTCACTTTCAGGGGACATTGTAAACAAGAAGCGGGCAGCATTATCTCCTGCAAATGTAAACAAATTTGTTTGTCTGAGTGATTGGTTGAACAAGAAGTAGGACCGAGTGGACTTGCAGGCTCTAAAATTTTACATCCTTTTATTTTTGAATGCAGTTTTTTTGTACATAATTCTATATTTGTAAGTTCAACTTTCATGATAAAGAGATTGCACTACAGTACTTGTTTTAGGTGAATTGAAAAATACAATTTCTTTTGTTTTTTTTTACAGTGCAAATACTTGTAATCCAAAATAAATATAAAGTGAGCACTGTACACTTTGTATTCTGTGTTGTAATTGAAATCAATATATTTAAAAATGTAGAAAACATCCAAAAATATTTAAATAAATGGTATTCTATTGTTTAACAGTTTGATTAATTACACGATTAATCGTGATTAATTTTTTAAATCCTTTGACAGCCCTATCCAAAATACAAACAGCACACAGAACATTTACATTCTCCAATTTCTAGTTTATTCAGCATCACAGATCAAGTTGCAGCTCACAGTAGAAAACAATTTGAGGGTATTAGAGATTTCAATAAATAAACAGAAATACAGCCACCCAAAGTACTTACATATCTGCTTCCTTTTGCCTAGACTTTTCTGTGACTTTGTTTATAACAGAGTCAGCAAGATTTAACCTATCTGAAAAATACATTAAAAAAAAAAAAGAAGTGAAGATCAAAGAGGTTTTCCACACACAAAACTGCAGCTACAGTTCTGCTGCCAATAGACATAGACATATCACACATCACACACATTCAAGGCACAAAAAAATACTTGTAACAAGATGATCAGGTTTTCAAAACATATGCACTAGCAGCATGAGTTAACTTAGCATTCTCCTCTATGGGTCTGAGACCCACTCCAGGATTGTAGAAGAGCAACAGGGGCTACTGCCCTGAAGATGAGCCAGTGCCTAGAGATGCTGTCCTTCAGATGGGATGTTAAACAGAAGTCTATCTGCCCTTCTCTCAAGGAACTTAAAAAATCCCATGCTATTTTCCAAACAGAGTAAGCAATAGCCCTCAGTGTCCAAGCCAATATTCCCTCAATAACACTAATTCTGATGTTTAAGGTAGCATGTGACTTAATGCCAAGTATACTGCTGCTGTTTGGGTCTATAAATCACTGCTCTACTCACTTATCTCATCATTTTGGAAATCTTTTGGTATGAAAGATACTAGACAAAAATCACTGTATCCTAGTATAAATTTGCTATCACAAGATACCATGGTACGTTACACAGCAACTTCACTGCATACTGACTATACAGAATATTGTAGAACCAAAAAAGCTGAGGTGCTGCAGCTTTGAGAGTGATCAGATGGACAGCTGAGTCCCTCCCTCCCAGCCAATCAGATTGTTTCTGGGGTGAAATTACAGAAGAATTATTTTGTGTAATCAGAAGGAGGCAGAGGGAAGAGAGACTGACAGCTCTCTGGGGAGGAGGAGACTCCAGGAATGGTATCTAAAGACAAACATGATGTCTGAAGATGACATCCAATATTAACCCTTTTAACTGTTTAGTAACAGCTGGCTAGTTATAATGCCTAAAAGCTCTAGCTCAATGTAATTAGAATTAGTCACTGAATGTCACCCAGGTGTACCTATTACCATAAAAGAGGACGATAGGATTATACTTACCTAGATTAATTTTATGCTCAAATTTTCTTAGGGCCTTGTCTGTAGGAGTGGACATTTTTGCTGAATTGCAACTAGGGGTCTGTCTATTTGCCTGAAACAAAGGATTTGTTACATAAATTTGCCTTCCCTAAGTAGTCCTTCTAAATACACACAGTACCTGGGGGAAGGGGTATGGGGGAGGAGATCAGTTTATCTAGTTTGATCTGCTCGTGTCTCTAAACACCTG